CGAAGTCAGCCGCTTAACCAACTGAGCCACCCAGGCGCCCCTATACTTGACTTTTAAACTACCTGGAATAATATGATCATCAATAGTCACAAAAATCAACGGACTAATTTGTTATTTAGATATAGACTTAGCAAGTGCATTAACACTGTACATTAATTCAGAGCATAGTATAAAATCATGTTTAACAGAGTAAAACACATTTTAGTGGAGTAAAATTTTCAAGGTTATATCAACATAGGGATTTGAGATTTTCTTTATAAATGCAAGAATACATTTATAAGTATAAAATACATCACTTACCTCCTTCCACCTATTGGCTTTCCATGAAGGGCATCTGACAGATCTACAAGCTTTGTGAGTTCGAGGTTTCCGTAGATGACTGCAATATGTTTCTTCTAATTTCCCTTGGAACTGGTCAATGCAAAGCACCTCACGGTACTTTAAACCTTTACCACAAGAAGCTGAGCACTAGAAAATAAACACGAATATACTTGATTCATTTTATTTGACTAATTTATCTTCAAAATATATAAAACGAAGCAATCAAAACATCATTGCTTTCTTGGATATTTCTAACTGGAGAGAATTTAAAATTTGTCCATCTGCCCTGGACCATCAATGGACATTGAAGTACATTGACGGACATGAGCTATCCATTAATTCCATAAGAAGTAGTGTCTACAGTATACCAAGCATTCTTCTGGTACGTAAATGGTTTAGATCCCCTAAGGTTAAAGAGTATCTGAAGCTAACTCCGGTTACCACACATGATCATTTAAATTTTGTATAGTCATCACTATTCTATTTTTAACCCTATATGTTTCCCAAACTGCAAAGTATGCTTAGGATGTATAAAGAAAATGCAATGATTTCTCAATGCAGGGAACTGTGATTGAGAAAGGAGAAAACTTATTTTTTAAGTGCACTCCACTTCAGGTTTGTTTTCTGCATCAATCTGGAAAAATATCTCTGTACAATCAACCCTCCAATATATTCAGTAAAAAGATAACTAAAATCTCTGTAAAGATATAAGTGAAACAATGACTTCATTTTTCAGCCAGTTTCCATTTAATGAGTGAGGCCAGAGCCATGTTGTGGAAAGAGCTTGGGCTCTTTGAAAGAGCTCTGCTTCTTACTACCAGGGTGACTCTGGGTGCATTTCATAACCTGTCCAAGACTCAGTTTATTTATTTATAAAATGGGAATAATAACACCAATATTACAGGTTCATTATAAAGATGAGATAAAGAATATGAAAGGTCTGATCCAGTCCTGTTACATACAGTACGTCCTCAATAAATATTAGCTTCCTTTTCTACTGTTTTCCTTTACATGGTTTCAGGATGTTGGCAATTTTCAGCATAATATATGTACCAGAGAAAACTTAAGACACGGATTCCAGACAACTCCTATCATACCTCTGAGACAGCTGTTCACATATGGTTTCATTTAGAAACATACACGGAGTTCTGAGAATATTAGATAATATATTATATATTTTATCTATAGTTCAAAGACTGTGAGACTATCTAATACAGACTATTAGATGCTTAAAATATTTTAAATTAAAAAAACAGTTGGGGGATAATTTATCATTTTATACGATCTGCAATACTATATCTCATTTGTGTAGGCAATTGATTTGATTCAGTGCCTTGATTATTAAGACTTATTATCATATCTGAAATGTCACTTACAGGTCACTTAGAACACACTTAATTCTGTGAAAATCCCTAAGGGAACTTCGTAACTTACAGTGAGTATGCATTCTTTCCTATTGACCTTCTCTCTTGGATCTAGCTATATGCTCTGTTCTTTCTGACTTGGGTACTTCCCTGTTTCTTGACTTCACTATCTGTTTTTCAAAGAGTATGTTATCTTTTATACCAGAAACATTACATATTATTGAGCATGAAGCATATATCATCAGGAAGTATATATACATGTTCACACATGGAAAAATGTTTTTCTCCTGAGGTACATATTATTATTTCTAAGCTTTAGATCTTTAGAACAGAAGAGCATTCATTACTCTTTCTGTCAGCAAGCATTACTGTGGATAATTAAGATCAACACAATTGTTCTTATGGAAGATGTAAAAATACTTGGTAACTTATTTGTTCTATTATTGAGTTTCTACTATATACCAAGAGTTGAAGACACAGATTCATTAAACACCTTTTGCTTTTGCCCTTTACTCTCAAAATATTTATAATCTAAATGACACATACCACCTATTAAATCAATTATACCAAAGTAGATCTACAGAATATTAAACCCAATAAAAATCAGAAAAAAACTCAAGTCATAAAGACCATTAAAATAATACAATAAAAATTATGGATTTAAGAAATTCTGAAAAGTAACCATTCCTTTTGGGATGTTTGATAAGTACTCAAGCAAGGAGAAGGTGATATTTAAAGTCAGTTTTGAAGAAGTAAGCTTGTTGATGGACAAAGATGGATGGTCATATATTTGTTTAGTAAGTCTTCTCTGGGCATTGCCCATGTGTCTGTTTTGTAAAATTCTGAGTTTTAACAATGCCAAGAAATCCAAGAATCACACAGTAAATATGCAGCTGATTATTGATATTTCTGATAAAAATGACCATTCATTTATTAAACTATGTACCATAAGAGGGGATACTAAAGATTCTACTTTAGAATTCAGTGATGTATTTCCTCTACGAGCAATATCTATGAATGGAATGTAAACTCAGACATTGTAGTGCACTATCGAAGCCAAGATTATTCTTCACAAAACTGAATAGTGTCTCCTACTCTAACTCAAGATCGTCTTTCTCTTCATCATTATTCTAATCTTTAACCAAGACTATTATTAAACATAATTTTAAACATTTTTTTGGCTCAAAAACTGACAATGGTTTCCTATTGCCTTCAATAGTAAATCAAAACTTATATTCTTTTTTGCTTTCTTGATCCATTAAATTTCAGTCAACATACCTTTCTGACCTTATATTGTTACTTTTCAACACACACCTTTGCTCTACTTAGGCATAATACAGTAACTTTCTCTTTAATGTGACATATTCACTCAACAAGAGTGCCTAATTCACATTATTTCCTTTTACCTCAATTAATCACTTCCTTTGATGCTTGCTAAATGTGATTTATCCTTAAAGCTCTATGTCAATCCTATGTCTAAGGTAAATACATGTCAATCTTTCACTTCTCTAAATTCTTCTGAGTCTCACTCTGGTTTTAGCACTTCATCATTTTCTACTTTTGTCACATTCTTTATCTACCCAGACTTCTGGAGGTCAAGGACCTTTTAAAGATTACCCACATCACCCACAAAAAGGCAGGTAGAGTAAATATAGGCTGATTAATTGATGTTGATCTTTGGTGTAAGCAATTCCTTTTGTTTTTCTGAAACTCTAAGGTAATTTATTAACACATTTTAAATTCCTTGGAATGTATTTATTGGTTTGTAAACACGAAGTTCTCTAGGGAAGACAGACATAAAGCACAAAGAATTGCAAAATAAATTATGCTTGGTTGCACTTTTAAAGTAGAGCTCTTTTTCCTCAAGATTTGAAGGGGAGTAAGTATATTATTCATCAAGTCTGATGAATTCTATATGATGATTTAAGTAGAAGAGATCATGTTATGCAAAGAATCATGTTTTAGCTGGAATGAGGTTTTCATAAAGTGAATAACTAGTGAAATGCTACCCTCTCTCTTGCAAACCACAATACATTCTGAGTTGCAAAGATACCACAAATTGGCCTACTTGATAGGAATACTCAAACATGACAATTCTTTTCTTTGGTACTCAGCAAATTTTTTTGTTTGTTTTTCTCTTTTATATTCCTGATACCATCCTACTCCCTTGAGATTTTACTAACACTGTGTATTTTCCTGCATTCTCATCAAAAGAATTCTTAAAAATCATCCCTATTGTTCTTAGTTAACATAGTGTTAAGTTCTGAGATATTTTCATAAATGCGGTGGGATAGTAGAAATAGGATACAATCTACTTCAGAAGCGCTGACATTAAATACAAGTAACCTGAACTGCCTATTCCCATAAACTAGGTGAAGACAAATGTCTACTTAAGGCAAAAAGAAAATTTGAAACAAATATAGGATTTTCAAGCTCTAAAAATGAAATACAATCTCCAGAGTTGTGCAGGTTGGATGGCACTTTCAATTCCAAGGTGGAAAGTTGGAATTAATCATTTTAATATGACTCACTTCGTAACAAGTCTATTCTTGTTTTTAAAGTTGTACATAATTCCAGAATAAGATTATTTTTAATATTTGAGGTGTGGGTTATTATTTTGTTTGTAAAGATATCATAAAGGAGGGAATTGACCGTTTGTGACAGATGTTGATTCTAGACACTTAAATTGCTAAACAAAATAAGGAAATGAAGTTTACTTAACTCCAGTTCTCGGAAATGGAAAACATCACCATCAGGTACATGAAATGGTGCTCAACATAACTAATAATCAGGGGAATACAAATTAAAAGTACCATGAAATATCACATCACTCTTATTGGGATGACCATAACCAAAAAAATGAATAATTAATTCTGGTGATGACGTGGAGAAAGGAAACACTTGTGCACTGCTGGTGAGATTGTAAACTGGTACAGCCACTATTGAAAAATAGTATAGAGAATCCTCAAAAAATTAGAAATAGAACTACCATAAGATCCATTTCTTTTGAGAATTTATCCAAAGGAAATGAAAATACTAACTTCAAAAGATATCTTCACCCCTACATTCATAGCATTATTTACAAAAGCCAAGACATGGAAACAACCCAGGTCCATCAATGGATAAATGGATAAAGAAGTTATGGCAGGGGCACCTGGGTGGTTCAGTCGATTAAGCAATTTTGGCTCAGGTCATAATCTCATGGTTAGTGGAATCGAGTACCACATTGGGCTCTGCACTGATAATGCGGAGCCTGTTTGGGATTCTCTCTCTCTGAGCCTCCCTGACTCGCATGCTCTTTCTCAAAATAAATGAATAAACTTAAATTAAAAAAAAGAAGCTGTGGTACACATATATACAATGGAATATTATTCTGCCATAGAAAGTGAGAAAATCCTGTTATTTGCAACAACATAGGTGGACCTTGGGGACATTATAAGTGAAATAACTCAGAGAAAGATACTGTATGATCTTACTTATATGTGGAGTCTTAAAAAACAAAAACCAAAAAACTCAGAGATAAGATTTGTGGTTACCAGAGGTGGGGGACGATGAGAGGGAGGAATTGGAGCAAAGTGATCAAAGGTAGAGACTTCATAAGTACTAGAGGTGTAACATACATCCTGATGACTATAATTAACACTGTGATAATATATACAGGAAACTGTTGAGAATAAATTCTAAAAGACCACAAGGAATTATTTTTGCTTTTGTTACTGTGTCTATATGAGATGATGAATACTAACTAAACTCACAGCAGTGAACATTTCACAAGAGAAGTCA